ATGCTCACCTTCTATCTTTGACTATGAGAATGTCACCTTTTCTTTTTTATTTCCTGTCATTTCTTCTTTTTGTCTTTCAGTAGCATTTAGGAATGCATAAAATGGCATTCTACCAAAATCTTTTTAATAAACTTTTTATTGTTTTGAAGTGTGTTGTGCCTCCCTTTCCTATCCCCTTTACTGGGAGAATGTATGTCACAGGATGCTAAGGTTCCAGTCTTGCTATCCCAATTGATACTTGCTGAGAGGAATGAGGCTGTTTGAAAGAGATGGCAGCTATGTTATTGGCAAACCCCCTTCCTCTTAAGTCCTCCTCTGCAAAAAGAAGAGGAACTTACCGGATTACAATAATTTTCTAAGTGCCAAAAAAAGCAGAAAAACTAGTTAAGTTGGTTTTTTTTCTGCACAGAATCCTTAGATGGACCTGGGTCTTCTGTATGTAGGGTTTCTGTCACAGCAAAGAAATGACTGTCAGAGCAGAAGCTAGTTGGGATGTTAAATCTGAATTTTTTAAGATGGCATATAGCCTTTTTACATTAAAATATAAAGTTTCAACATAAAAGTTTTAACTTTTTGACAGACTTGATAGAACCTTAACAGTTTTTTTTGTTCTCTCTCTAGTACTTGACCTCTCTCTTTTGCCTTCCTTCTCCATCTTTGCCTTTTTAAAAAAAGGAAAAATATAATCTTCTATATGTTGGGATGGTGTTGGCACGACAGTGCTTCTGTACAGATAAAATGTGTAGGGCCCATGTCTCAGGAGGATATTCCAAATATCAATTGCTGCTTGGAAAGCACTTTAAATATCTGTGATACAGATGTGAAACATCACTTCTGCTAAAATCAGAGTGACAATCAGAGGTGCTTCTCAAGCTGCTAATAATGAGCATCACTACAAAACTACAGAGATACCAGATTGTTAGGTAAATGATACAAGACAGCTTATCTCTGAAAGGTAATAAAAGAGAAGAGCTGTCTATTTTTTGCTTTGTTTTTTTTGTTCCACCCCCCAGCCCCTCCTGATTATTCAGCAGTTGAAAAAACTGCTTTAGAAATAATAATAATGCTTCTAGGTGTCAAACAGCTCAGGAATCTAACAAAAGCATGAGATGGGAAGACATTTCCCTTACCAGGCCCCTTGCCTTGATAACGGAGGAAAGGTCTGTAGCAGACCCTATTCACAGTGTTTATTTAATTACTGCATTTCTTTATGATTGGACAAGCTAACTTCTAAGACACATTGACTAATGTTTTTGCAAAGAAAAGGGTTTTGCCTTGCTAAATTATGTTTGTTGTGTTGGCACTTACTCGACAAAGAAGAATGGTAAAGAGCTGGAATCGCATTAGAAAACAACCTCTAAGGCCAGCTTTCTAGGATTGCTTTGAACTCTCACTCATCATTATTTTATGCACCCAATCGCCTTTGTGCTTATATAAGGAGCATAAGAAACAACATGACTCTTGCCTTTAGGATTTTTATTCAAAGCTGCAACTTTCCTGATTGCAACAGTGGATTTTCAAGCTCCAAAGCAATTGTGTAAATTAAAATCCCATGTTTCTGTGGGCTATGAATGGAGCTGTTTGAAGCGCTCTTAAAAAGAAGAGCCTGCTTCCACTGTCAGGAAGGGGAAGGAAGTTTAAGGAGCTCTGGGCTCCCATTGCCCCACACAGTGATCTGTGACTGATAGACTACCGCAGGCTATGGGTGCAGACTTGTGAACAGACTGAGGTCTCCCTCCCTTCTGGGTGTGATTCTCACCCAAAGCACCTTGAAGCCCTTAAGAAATTTCCAACAGGCTTTCTTCAGATCCATCTACCGCTGAACTGAGAAACAGAGAAACCAGTGACACATGCAGCAGAGGAGGCAAAGGGCTGGTCGTTTTAAGATGTACCTACCCAGTGCACAACACAGCCCCTAGCCCCCAAAACACCAGAGGCACATCTGCTCCCCCAAAACACTGTGTGGCAAATTCAGGGGTGAAAATGTGTTGCGGAGGATCCACAGGGGACATCACACACAGACCAATGGGATCAAGTGAAGTCCATTTACTACAATGTTTGACACAGTTATATATCTTATGCACTTGTGCACGTGCCTTATACAATACGCTGATTGGTACAATACCCCGTTTCACGTGACACTATCTTATTCTCTATTGGCTGCGCAAGCTTCTTCATGAGGTGTCCAGCAGTTACTTATCTCATTCTTCAGCATCCAGGTGTTGTTTGTCAGGCTCTTCTTATCTTCTTTTTTCCCAGCGTACAAGGACACAGCGTCCTTGTCTGCTCCAGCATTTTGTAAACTTATGCTTCGTTCCCACCTAACGGCTGGATTGCTCACATGCCTTTGCCCAGCCAAGAAATCCTCAACAAAAATGTAATGAGCCAGAGAAAGAACATCATGTTGGATCCATAGCATTTCTAATAACCCAACCAAGACTCTTCCAGCACAAGGGCAAGTTTGGAAGTCTTTTCCCCCTCTTTGTTCACCCTTCTCTCCAGCTTTATATTCTGACTCTGCATCTGTGAGGTCGGATTTCCAGACAGACGTTGTATATTGATCTGTCATTCTTATTCCTACAGGGGTGGGTAGCCCCTGCAGTGGGTGCCCAAAATAAAGAGAAGCCCACTAGCAGGTGCAAAGAGGCGGTGGGCAGCCTCACAAGGGCAAAACCCGAAGTGGTGGGCTGTGCTGTGTGTGCAGCTTGTCAAGTGCGGTCCCAGCACTCGGATACGTATGAAGCTATTGGCGGCTGAGCTGACTGGGAGCCGGGAGGTGTGGGGAGGATGCGCACTGAGCCACGGATGAGCCAGGAGGCTGCTTGGGGCTGCCTCGGCGGGGCGGGGTTCAGGCGGGCTGTTGGGGGCAAGGGACCAGGGGCCGGGGTCGGGCCGCCGGTGAGGGTGCGGGCAGGTGGGTGCTGGCCGCGGGTGCGGTGGGGCAGAGCCTGGACGGGAGGGGAGTGGAAGGGCAGGCGGAGAAGCACCCCTGCGCTGCCGGGGGAGCTGCCCGTTCTTCTAGCTTTCTCCCCGCCACCCCTCCATTAGTTTTTCTATCGGTGGCAGAAAGATCATGCTGTCATTAAAAGCACTTCTCCTCTCTTTGTCCCCGTGCCAGGGAGAGAGGGGCGGGCGGCAGGCACGCCGGGGCGGGCCACTCGCTGCTGCCGCCACCGCCGCTGCCGCGACGCCGGACACTGCTTTCGGTGCCGCTATGGGTGCCACCGTGCCCGGCGGGGGCGGCTTCCCGCCCGCCCC